GGGAATAAAAATGGAGCAGCAAACTAAAAGGAAGATGTGTAAGACTAATGTCGTTTGAATCAATGAGATGACATTATAGCTCTGTTTATAATTAGAGTTTGTTTATATTAGTTTACATTATATCTGTGTTAAGAATCAGTCAAAAGTTTGATTACAGGACCTGTTGAGTATCATGTCTGAGAAGGAGAATGCTAATTATGTTTACAATAAACATATGAACAAATAAAATGCTTTTATATTTCCTTAATAACTCTCTGGATATGATGGAATGATGTGTTACGCTGAGCACTGCTGATGGCAGCTGAAGTGCGGAAGGATGTGTGGCGGGGGAGAAGCCAGTTATGAAATCCAAAGGAACAGGGGCGCCTGGATGGCTGTCGGTTAGCTGTCTGCCTTCAGCTCAGGTCATGATCCCAGGGTCCTCGGATCGAGTCCCGAGTCAGGCTCCTTGCTCAGTGGAGAGGCTGTTTCTCCCTCTCCTTCTGCCTCTGCCTCTCCCCCTGCTTGAGCTCTCTCTCTGACAAATAAAATTAAAAAAAGAAAGAAAGAAAGAAAAAGAAAGAAAGAAAAAGAAAGAAAGAAAGAAAGAAAGAAAAAGAAAGAAAGAAAGAAAGAAAAAGAAAGAAAGAAATCCAAAGGCACATCTGCCCTTTTCAGAGGAAGAAGCACAGGCCCCCTTGAAAAAGAGTCCGTTGTTGATGAGGTAGAGCTTCCCTAGAGAACGGATTGAAATTATCCAAATAGGTTGTTTGTTTAAAGGAGGCTTTCATAGGTTGTCACCTCTTTGGCACTGTTAGACATAAGACAGTCTCAGAGCTGGAAAAAACACAATTCCCCTGCCCCCGTCACCGATTTAAAGAGCCTACATGAACACGAAAGTGGGTGTGGCAAAAAAGGAGAAAATGCCATAAACTGGGTATCTAGAAAACCACCCAACTGCATTATAGTTAGTGGCCTCGGTAAGTAAGACCCTGAAACCCGGCTACGGAGGTCTTGAAAACTGCCGGGCGGAGCTGAGGGTGAGATGTACCACCCTCCAGGCGAAGCCATACTGTGCCGAGCTCCAGTGAGGAATGCCTACCTGAAGAGCACGCTGTTGGCATGCGCTTCAGAGTCTCAGCTTTGAGTCATTAACAGCAGACCCCTGGTGCATTTACCTTTTCTTACCTGCCTGCTATGTTTTGGGAGTAAATGATCCCAAGATTTACTGGTTTAATGCATTACAGTTCTCTTCTCTAACCTTTATATTTCCCACAAGTTGAGAAAGGGAAGTGAAGTCACCCATCTAAAAGGGGTAAGAAAAGTCAAGAAGATACTGAAAATACTAGAAAGAAAATGGCTTTCAAGACAGCAACACAGAAAAATACATATAAATAAGGAAGGTGAAGAATTTGTTTGTCTTGCAGTTAATAAAACTTGTAACAAAAATTAAACTCGAGTAAGTCTTTCTCTCTTTGTGCTTATTTCACCTTCACAAATTGCGCTATGCCTCACACAAATGTTACCCATAGAGACACAAAAAAATAAACCGCATCCACAGAACAAGACACAGGATATCCAAAAGGAATGCTCAAAGAATGAGGTGAGCTCTTGGAGATGAAAAGTTTAAGTTTAATTGATAAAAGGTTTGGGACATCACATTGATAAAATTGCCCAGGAATCTTTGAAGACAAGACTATATAAAAGAGACGTTAAGAAGAACTGGAGGCTCACCGGAGGGCACTTCCAACATCCAAATCCCAAGAGAGCAGGGGAAATGGAAACCACAGATAGGAGCAATGCCTTCAAAATCCTGAGGCAAAATGGCTCCCAACAGAATTCCATTCCCAGCTGAATCAATCAATGTAAGACTAGAAAAAATAGATTTTCAGACATGCAAAGTGCCACAGATTTAACCACGACTGCTCTCTTTCTCAGAAAGCTCAGGAAAAATAATGGCGTAGGGTCCAGGGAACAGGAAATCCCCCGTAGGAGAGATGAAGGACATCCCCAGGATGATAATGAAGAGAGATCAGGGGACATCTGCTGTGTAGCAGATCCAGACAGCAAACAGTTGAGAATGGATCTGAGAAACCGACGGCTCAAAGAGGGAGGCCACCCAGAAAAGGAATTGAGAGGAACTACACTTCTGCGTAGAGGTGGCTGATGAACGGGGGTGAGGCACACAGAAAACAAAGCGAATGAAAAACAAGACAGTTATCTCCATGACAACAGGAAAGTGATACATCTATGAATAATATTTACATACATAATCACATTAATGCAAACAATGAATATTGATTTGGTCTAACGATTATGATATAGCTACTAGAAAGAGAGAAATGCAGATATGGGGTGCACGCGTGTGTGTGTGTGTGTGTGTGTGTGTGTGTGTAGGACGTACAGCTGGAAGTCTGTAGGTTATACCAAAGTAAGAACTGCAAGAAATAGTGATATAAGCATGTAATTTGGGTTGATACTAGAAGAAATGGCTAAAATGATTTTTATATATACGGAGTATAGTGTATATATACTAAAAGGGTTGAAAGTGGTTTCCTCTGGAGGGTGAAATTGGAGAACGGGGACGGACAGGGCTGGGGCCTGCTGTACTTTGTCGTAAGTCTTACAGAATCATTTGACTTTCTAAACTAGGTACAAGAAAAATAGGATAAAAAAAATAGTTGAACAAGTGCTTAGAAAACACACAGGTGGAAATAACAATACCATACTTGAAATAAGAGCTAATATTTGAGCTCTTCCATTTTAAATGCTTTATAGGCACTAACTCATCAATTCCTTACAACAGTGTTTATGAAGTAGGTAGGACTATTTTCCCTATTTCACAGATACGTAAACTGAGGGACAGCGAAGTTAAGTATTTTGCTCAGGATCACCCAGCTTATAAGTGGTGAAATGGGGACTAGAGTCAGACACTCTAACTGTAGAGGTCCCCACAAGGACTCAATCAGAGCACTTTACTGCCGTATAATCAATTTTAAATGCATTCTACAAATATCTTATGTAATGAATATTTATTGCCCATGTATCAGGCATTGTTTTTGGTACTGGGGATACACCAGTGAGTAAAGCAAAGACCCTGCTCTCATGGAGCTTAAAGAGATTGTCCCTGTAACAGGGACAATCAGGAAGACAGATCAATCAGAGTTTGATGGGTTTGGTGGAGAATGAGCCCCTTTTACATTGAGCAGGGACTTGAAGGAAATGGAGAGCAAGCCATAAAGATAGTTGAAGGGAGAGGGGACAGCATGTGCAAGGGCCCTGAGACATAAGTGGGGTTGGTGTGCTGGGGGAATAGGACAAAGGCCCCTGTGCAGGAGGGGGTGAGTAAGAAGTGAAGTGGGAGATGATGTCAGGGAGGAAGCAAAAAGGTCTGGGCCAGGTCACAAACGGCCTGGAAGGCCAACATAAAGGCCTTGGCTTTTACTTGAAGATTTTATTTATTTATTTGAGAGAGAGAGAGAGGGAGAGGGAATGAGTGGTGGGGGGAGAGGGGAGGCAGAGGGAGAGAGAGCGAGAGAAGCAGGCTTTCCGCTGAGCAGGGAGCCCAACGCAGGGGCTCGATCCCAGGACCCTGAGATCATGACCTGAGCGGAAGGCAGACGCCCAACCGACTGAGCCACGCAGGCGCCCCTGGATTTCTTTTTATTTATTCTACTTAGTATTCATTGTGTTTCTGTATGTGTATCTATGGATTTATAACTTTCACCAGCTTTGGGAATTCTTAGCCAGTACCTCGTTAAATATCGTGTGTGTGTGTGTATATTCTTCATCAAAGACTCTGATTAGATATATCTTAGACTTTTTTTGTGTGTCTCTTAACCATTCTCATCTTCCCATCTCCTTGCATTTCTATGCTATATTCCAGTCTATTTCTTCGGCCACATCTCCATTTCACTAATTATCTCTTTAACAACCATATTTCTCATCTCTAACCTATACATTTTTTTCCCATTTTGCCTGATTAATTCCAATAGTGAGCTGTTGCCTGCTCATTTTATTTCTATAAATATTTCATTCATAGTTATTTATAAACTATATACATTTTATACAGATTATTGTTATAATTTTAGGAGCTGACATTCTTAGGGGTAAATACATTGATTTTATGTTGACTATCACTGATGGTCAACTTATATGTTTGACAGTTTTTGATTGTCTAGGTAGGCATGCTTAGGATTTACATTCGCTTCTTCAGAGATCGAGTGGGTTCTCAGTTGAGGTTACTTTGTACAACATTATACTTTAAAGCTCTATTGCTTGCTTGGGAAAGTTAAACACCGCAGCTAGCACCCTACCAATGGGAAACCATGGGATGCAATTTATCTGAGGTCAGTTATCTTGTTAAAAATTGAGTAAGTGTAAATCCCAGGGTGGTAGTTCTGATCAATATTCTGATGGCCATTTTCATCTAAATAAAAATTAAGTCTTCAGAAACACCACATGCAAAATTTCAAAATATACATCTAAAACAACCGACTGGGACAAATTCTTTCTGTTGAAGGAAAAAAAAAATACCACTGACTCAGCAATATAAAACGATTAAGAACCCAGAAGCACTTCTTAAGAAGAGTATATTTTCTATAGACTCATTTATATATTATTAGAATATACATGCTGCTCTCTCATAAGGTCTAAGTACCATGTAAGTTTAGGGGAAAAAGATTAATTCTACTTTTTTAAATGAAAAACTAAAATGATCATTCTAAATCCTGAACTAGTATTCATTAGTTATAAGAAACAGAAATTTTCTTTTCTTTCAAAAATTCACTCTTTATTTTTCACCACCTTTTTAAAAACAGAAATAAAATGCCATCTCTCTATTCATTACTAGTAATCCTGAAATAGATTCTAAAAACAATGGGTGAAATATTTCACACTGGTTCTTTAGAAAGCAACTTCAAAGGCAACTCAGCTGTCACTCATCCATTCATATTGGTAGGGGGAAAAAGAAGACACATGACTTAATGAGCATAATTAAAAAGTGATTCTGAATGGCTTACCTGCTGCCTGTTTTCACAGAACAGTTTTTCTTGTGTCCTCTCTCAGCTCGGTTATCTCTCAGAAGCTGATGCTATACAAAGTGTTAAGACAAAGTTATAGAAACAAAAATATTTTCATTATATTATTTTGTAAGTAGAAGGGTGTTCCTCCCACGCAAAGGGGCACCATTTGCGCACTTGCGTTGACTTTTTCTCCCCCCTACTGGTTTCTCTCACAACAAAGACCACTACTTTTACGAGAGATGCCACCGACACTCTTGTAACAAAAGTGTTAGCAAGGGCTGCCAATCCAACAGTTCCCTGACAGCGAAACCACTCTGATTGTCAGTTAAAATACAGTCCAGAGCTGGAGGTTCTAGAACTCAAGTCTTTATCCTAGTTCTCTGGAGTAGTCCTGGTTAAAGTAACATAACCTCTTGCCAATGGCCTCTACCATTGAATTCAGCTGTGAATATTTTGAGACTTGGTCATTTACGCTGACATGAAAGATCTAATATTTTCTCTGTATCTACTGGCCTAACATGGTAAAGAAACACACTTAAAACATTCGTTTTCAAAGAAATTATTGGCTTGGAAATATATAATTAGAAAGCATGTATATACATTTGATTGCCTCCTCAAAATGCCTCACCATCCACTTCCCTTCACACTTGCTTTATCCTAACTAATTGGAAAGAAAAAAACCCCGGGGCAGTCAATACTCTCTACTGTGTGTTCGCTCAAACTGTAGCTTACCTTATTTAGGCAGAAATATAATTATACACAAGACTGGGCCAAAAAGAAGTTACACAGCATATTAGAAATATTATATTAGAATATTGTCAGAAACCCTAACAAAAACAGAAATCTTAAAAGTACTAATGCAGGGATAGAGCTAGGTTCTAATCCCAGCTGTGCTTGTAACTAACAAGTTACTAGGTTTTAAATAACAGACTGGCCATTTACAAACTGGCTAGTCTTAGGCAAAGTACTTAACCCCCGAGTCTATCTGTAAAATGGAGATAATATTATCTACTGACATGGTTGCCGTGTTAAACAAGATAAACCAGGTAAAATGCTTAGCGCTATGTCCAAAACATAAGAAGCGCTGAGCAAAACGGTTCAAATGCTGCCATCATGATTATAATTAATGAGCCTGGCTGTCAGGGGGTATTGTCTGACCAGTATCAATACCTTTTTAGAAAAAAATTTAAACTACTTAATGACATTGGAATCAACTATTAGTGACATTTGGCCATCTTTGAGAGGAAACAGAACTTAATCAGATCATCAAGAATGTAGTTAGATCATTTACTTATTCTTTCAGGACTGTCTTAACTAAGTACGTGTATCTTAAATTTCTCTTAAATATCTACTTCTTTCCTTCCCCAACACCACCATCCTCGTCCAGACCATCATTTTCTCTTACTTGCAATGGCCTCCCTCCAGACCCGCTCCTATCCAATCTTTTCTCCACACTGCAGCCAGTAATTCTAAGATTAGATCTGGTTACATTACTCTCTGCAGATAAACCCCAAATCTTGTACAATGCTTTCACGGCCCTTCATGATTTGATTACATTTCTCAACTCCTAATTTATTATGCTTCCTGCTACCCCAACCTAACCTCCCTACTTTTTTTTTTCTTCTTCTTCTTTTTTAAGATTTTAATTCCAGTATAGTTAACATACAGGTTCTATTAGTTGCAGGTGTACAATATAATGATTCGACAATTCTACACATTACTCAGTGCTCATTGCGATAAGTGCACTCTTCTTCCTCTGCGCCTGTTCCACCCATCCTTCCACCCACCTCCCCTCTGGTAATGGTCACTAACCCCCTTCTTCCTAAGTGACATATCCCCACCATACTTAACGTTTTAGTTTGCGGTGTGTACCACATTCTCGCTCACCTTCGGCCCTTTGCTTCCAGTTATTCATTCTGCTTGCACCTCCACAGTCCAGCACAGTGTCTGGTAGAGTTTTAGTGCTCAATAACTATTTGTTGAATGAATGAATGATTGAATAAGTGTAATACAGAAATAGGGAGTGAGATCTAGTATCTGATAGGTAGCTGAAGCACTATCTCATTATTACTACGTGTAGAAAATGGCAACCATTTATCTTAAGTCCATTAATCTGAAAGTGTTTCAATTTAGAAACACTTCGTACCATGAAAACAAAATTGTTTCTGAAAATAAAAATAATTAATTACTTTGGCATTTCTAAGTCTAGTGCCTTTTACAAACATATATACAAACCAACATTTGTGACACAGATAGCCAGAGGTGAGATGATAAAATCTCTACGTCCACCTGAAATTAATAGTAGCGGTTAACTAACTTTTCTAGTTTTAAGATAAACGACAGATACGTGAACGCTGTTTCTGCAGTTTGTGTTAAAACAGTTACAGCAAAGAACTCAAAATTCCAAACACAACATTCTGAAATAAGAAAAGAATTCTACAGTTTAATTTTGAAAATGCAACTATAATGACCAAAATAAATATTAGGCTGTACCTACTAGGTCTGGATAGTTCTCAGAGAGGCCACCACTTGGATCAACTTAAATGAGATAGCGCCTTCTCTGAACTCTGATGTAGAGCTCCTTCTATGAGATTCATATAAGAATTTCTTCTCTTCCTCAAATTTATAGTTTTGATGGGTTTTGTATATAAAAGGAGACAAATATCAGAATTATTTAATACATATGCTTCTATATTAAAAAGCCATCACAAATTTCCTCACTTTATCAATAAAACTATAAATCTAGGTGCATCTTTGCAAATTTAAAATCAAACCAAGATAAAAATATACGAACTCAGATCTATGGGTCATGAATCCAGTGAGTTAACAGAGGAGGCTAGATCTTTTAAGGGGCAAAGGAGAAAAAAATTAATCCAGAATGTTATTAGAATAGAAAACATATATTTATATTTGAAATTCTCAACACATTTCTGCTATGCCCCAAAGAAAAAGAAAAAGGATGGCAGGGTGGGTTGGGGTAGGGGGCCGAGTCAGGTCATGAGTTCATGGTCAAAGACACAAGGATCCTTGAGCTCTGCTCTACTAAGGGAGAGTAGCTCATCAGGTTTTGAGAAATTACTCACTCTTCTTACTGATTATTCTTCTCTTTCCTTGGACTACTATCAGTGTCACAAGTGAGGTCAATTTTCAAGATTCTGACTCAACCACGTCAACTCTGTTTAATAACAGAACTTCTGAATATGGTGCGAAGTGCTTCTTACCTTCCAACTTTCAGATTGCTGGACTTAGGCCAGACGGAGACACAATTCCCTGATTAGTGACCTGCAGATGTATATTAAAAAATGACTCATATAAGAATTACATTAAAATTCATAAACACAAAACCTAGTACAATGTGAGGCTTACAAAAGGTTCACAATTTTTTAAAACTACTGAATTAAATCAGGAAGAGAAGTATTCCTTGTGGATGATGGTTCTTCCTATCAGAAAGGGAGCTGGGAATTTCTGAGGCTCTTCATAATATTTTTACAAGATTATTAAAAGTTTAAAATCCCTAACACAAGAGAAGAAGCCAAGAGAAGAATTCTTCCCCAGCAATCCTCACTTTACCACCTGATATTCAGAGGCATTTGCTCAGGAGTATTTCTGTTAGTAGCCATTTCTCAGTAATTTCTCAAACGTCTACAGAAGAATTTTAAGTCTCCTCACACGTGGGTTCTCGGTGTCCTCACCCTAAAGGGACAACTAAGTGATATCTAAACTGTTGTCTATGATTCCTTAAGATACTTGTGAATTCAGTCAAAATGTCAAATCATTAGATTTTCAAAGAGGAAAAATGGGAATTAAGTAAGATCCCCCCCCCCACCAAATGATGCTTCACATAACTGTCTCTCTCTCCTTCCTTCCATTTCTGAACTGACTTTATTTCTCTTCTGGGGCCTTTATAACTGCCCTCTGTGGTTTTCTCAAACATTTTACAACATACTATGTCATTATTGCTTTCCTGCCCCAGATTATAACCACCACAGGGGAAAAGCTACATTGGTTTTCTAAATGCCCTCTTTCATAGAGAGTATCTGATAGAAAATGGCTGATGAATAATAGTTATTTACTGAATGTGTAAAAAAAGAGTGAGAAGTATGCATGCTGTCAATGGATATGGGATAGAGCACTAAAGAACAGAAAGAGGAACTGTAAGGCAGGGGAAGTAGAAAGGGGTGGGATTTCAAAAAAGGTGGCAGTAATGTTATCCTTTCCTTATGTTGCTAAGTTGGTATGGGAAAAAGAAAAGGTGTGCATGCATGCTAACAGTCATTCATTCAACAACATAGTGGAGGATTTTACATTTCTTCACAGTTTTGCATTTTATCACTTGCACTGAGATTTATTTAGCAAAGTTTACTGTGCTAGAGTCAGATTTGCATGGAATTAAGAAATTTGTATCTCTCCAAAGGTAAGTGGTCTCTGTGTGGTTTGTATATGTACACCCAGGTAGGGTCATTCCTCAGTATTCAATGGATTCCATATTTACAATATGCCTATTTGCTAAAATTTCTTTGTAATGCCAAGATCAATACTTCTGGCACTTTTGCAGTCCTTCACAGACATGCGCAGAGTGGTAAAAATTTGGGTCAGCGGTCCTGAACGCTCTCAGCTGAGGCTTGACAAGTCGATCCTTTGCTTCGTGTTTCAGCGCTCATAGTATAAACAAGTATCTTTTATTGTAGTCTGTTTAGTGCTATGTTTTTTTGCATTTTTGTGTTCTCCTTTTTGATTTTATCATTTAAAATGGCCCCCAAGGGCGCCTGGGTGGCTCAGATGGTTAAGCGTTTGCCTTCGGCTCAGGTCATGATCCCAGATCCTGGGATTGAGTCCCGCGTCGGGCTCCCTGCTCCTTGGGAGCCTGCTTCTCCTTCTGTCTCTCTCTCTCTCTCTCTCTCTGTCTTTCATGAATAAATAAAAAAAATCTTAAAAAAAAAAAAAATAAAATGGCCCCCAAGTATAAAGCTGAGGTGCTGAAGTGTTCCTAAGTGCAAGACTGTCAGGGACCTTACAGAGAAAATACGTGCATTAAACAAGCTTTCTTCAGGTATTCAGAATCAATGATATATGTATTAAATAAGGTATCATTAAACATAAACAAACATCAAACAAGAATATGTATTGATCAGGAAATGAAAATGCTGTGACCTCTCAGGAACCTAATCATATATTTCCCTAGGAGCAGTGTGTTGGTATTTGCTACTTTAGTGTTCACATCGACTTTATAGAACATAGCTACTGTAGATAACAGGAATCAACTGTACTCATTAATTAATGACCTACATTAAAGACAGAAATCTGAAATCATGTATTAAAGTTTAAACAAAAGGCAGATTCAAAAATTGGTCAGAAAGATTTTGAAAATTAAAAACAATAAGGAATTGCTCAACTTTCTTCTCTTTTTGATATTAGCATTGGTTGATTGTTAACTTCAGGAAGAAAAAGCTTGGCTGGAAGCAAGCAGTTATATTGTGATATGAAAGACAACTTTATAACATTACTTTAGTATTTCTAAAGGGTAGGAAAGGAGCTTTAAAAAATTGTATTTTGGGATAATCTATTCTTTAGAAATAGTGGTCCATATTATTTTATTAATGTGAGAAGTATCTTTAAAGGGGAAGATCACTCTTATGGAAAAGGGCAAGTTTACAAAATACCATTAAAGCTGAATTTACGTGATAGTTTTCTTTAACTAGGCTCATGCGTATTAAGAAATTAGTATAATTTATAGTGAAGTATTTAGCACCTTCCTTTTATAAGTAAAAGGAACTATGGTATACACAACCAACTGTGGCTCAGCTTAAGAAATAAAACATCATGAATATATTAATGTTACCAATTACCATTACAAAGTACAGCCCCCTCTTTCCCTACCTACCTACCTACCTACCTACGCTTTGCAGAAAATGATCCCTGTTGATGTGAGGTTTTTCATTCTCATGTATGTAAAGGTATTTCTTACATACCATATTTTTGGCCCACTTAACAACTTTTATAACTCATAATGAAAAAAATCAACAAGGATGCCAAGTCTAAAATGCATATGCTTTAAAACTTATCAAAAACTTAAGACCTAAATTACCATAGCATGCTGCGGAGAGAAAACTAATACACTCAAGGGAAAAAGAAAGAAAGTACTCATTTTATATGTAAAGGTCACTAAAATGAATGTCAAGTCCTTGTAAAGGTGACTAATCATTGTGCTGCCATGTATACTAGTGAGCAATAAAAAAAAATCATGGAAAAATATAACATAAACTTGTAAGAAACTATTGCCACCTTCTAAACTTCAAAAATAAAAATATTCTCTTGCTGGTTGACGTTATTTAATACAAATCAATTTTTTCAGTATATGTACTATCTTGCTACCTTAACTTTGTGAAAAACAAATATAAATTGTGAAGTCCTATAAACAAGTGAATCCCACAGCCTTTCTGTGGAGGTGACATTCATGACAGGGGAAGGTGGTGGCAAGGGAGCGTTCTGATGATTACTGAGGATGATTCATTTGGTTAGTATATTAAGCACAGGCACCATCAACTCCTTTTTAAATAAGCTGGGATTTATATCTTTTCTCATAGAGCTGATCTACTACCTTGAAGGGAGATAGTTAAATATTTGAAAGAGACTAAGAAACTTCCTTTTGGATTAGAATGTTCCTTACCTGGCCATGCTCTGTCCTAGCGCCAGGGCTAAACCAATGGCTGCAGAGGAAAGAGAAAAGGAGTTAGCATGAACCTAACTAAAAGCACATGCTCTCACATGATCAGTCTGCATGTGCTTTAAGAAATGTATTCGCCACCAGCAATGGAGCCTTAAATATGCTTTATTTTAATGGATGTTTCATGTAATTCTAGACTTACACCAATTTTGACAGAATTGTAAGAGTGCTCATAACCAGTAATTTTCAATTTAATAAGCAAACTCAGTTAGAATTACATTTCCATTTAATTATGTTAACATAAACTGCTGGGACTGTATTCATTTTATGAATCAATTCTGGTTATAAAATCTTCAAATGCTATCATTTACCACAACTTAATTATAGCATCGTTACAACAAATTATGACCTTTGGATTGCTGGAGTTTTAAAAAACATTAAAAATACCAGAATATTATATCCTCTGGCTATGCCCCCAGGAACAATCACACAAAGCCCTTGATGTGAATTCTGGAGCATCAGCTGGAGGTAGGTACCTTGAACCTGTTCCTTCCATTGTGATAACAACTTGGCTTGGCTGAGAACAAGTTCAACAACAACATTCAAAATATAGCAGTCGCTGCACAGTTGACGCCTTCCCTTGTCGTGTTGTCCTTGCCCGGAATGACCCACCCACATTGCTTCAGCTGCTCCTTGGATCCTCAGTAGTGACCCATCTGGGGATACCTTTCCAACTTCACAACTGGGGAGTTGTGATTAGCTGTGTGCCTAGTCCTTTGGCAGTATTCTGCATCAAAACGACTCATAAACATCAAGGAATAGGAAATAGAAACACTGTGGCAAATAAATCACTAAAAGCCCACAGAGAATGATACCAATGTTATTATTAATGCTATTTGTTTTTTCAAGAACAATAATATTGAGTACTTGTATTTACCAAGCACTCTTTTGACACATGACAGTGTATTATTTCCTATCCTCATTAAACTCTTACAAGGTTATTCTCATATTCCAGGTGCAGAAATGAGGCACAGACATTAGGCTATTTGCCCACGGTGTGCATCCACCATACCATACTGCAGAAGGACAAGACAAATTAAAAGGGCAGATTTCCTAAGACTTCTATGTAATCTCTAGCCTCTGTGGTACTAACACCTGGGAATAAACAGCCCCGACATTAACAGGATTTGTCTCTGCTCTTACTGGAACACTTCTCAAGCTCATAGACAGTGATGCTCTTTGGCAGGTCACATTCTACCTTGATGTGGAATGGACACTTCTGGTATCTGTAAATGACATCTCGATTGATTACCAACTAGAAACAAACTATTTACTGCAGTTACCCAGACAACTTGACTAATATTTATTTCCCCCCTGCTATGGATTGTGCCTTTATATGACCAATGTATGATTTACTAAATCATGATGTGTAAGTGATCCATTCAGAGTTCAAGACAGAAGAGCAGATTTAATAGAACAGAAAAAAAAATCACTGATATGTTTTCAGATTACACATTATAATTAACTTTTGGGAAACAGCCACTCTTTGTTGTTTTAGTATCGTATCAAAGAATATCCACAATGATCTGAAATGAAAAGGCTATTAAAATACTCCTTCCTTTTCTTATCTACTACGTATCTGTGTGAGGCTGGATTTTCTTCATATGCTTCAACCAAAACATCTCACCACAGGTTAGAAGGGGAAGCAGCAATGAATCTAAGCTGTCATCTATTAAGCCAGACATTAAAGTGATTTGTGCAAACAATGGCACGTTCTCACTAATTTTTTGGGCGAAAAATGTCATTAGTTTTCATAAAAATATGCTATTTATGTTAACATGTAATGGGCTTACTACAGATTTATATACACATATTTTTTAGAGAGAGTGTGCATGTGCACGCACACGTGCACGCACACATTCATATGTGCACAAGAGTGGGGGTGTGGAGGGACAGAGGGAGAGGGAGAGGGAGGGAGAGAATCTTAACCAGCCCAACACAGGGCTCAATCTCACGATCCTGAAATCTTGACCTGAGCCGAAATCAAGAGTTGGACGCTTAACCGACTGAGACACCCAGGCCCCCCTGGGCTTACTATGTTTTTTAACAAATACATAAATACCACTAATATTCTTTTTGTTACAAACCGAGTCTTCATCTAGCTAGTTCACTAGCCCAGTGAATGGCAGCACCAACCTTCCAATGGACAACTAAACTCAGCTTGGACACCTTTCTTTTTCATATTCAAACCATCAGCAAGTTACAACTTTTCTTGTACCTACTAACTTGAATCCATTTATCATACTGCAGAGCTAGAGTGATGCTTTGAAGTTCAAATTTTGAATATTTAGTTATTTACACCCTTACCTCAAGCAAACAAATAAACAAACGGAAACTGAAGTCTGACGGGGCTTTCCACTGCTTTCCACTGCTCTTAGGAGAAAGAATCCCTAAATGGCCCACCAGGCTTAGCATCATCAGTCCTTGCTTACCTTCCTCCTGTCTCACGGAATACTCCCTCTTTCACATTCTGTGCTTACTCACTAGCATTCCTTTCATTGTCTGAACACAGAGCTATTCTCTCTGCTTGAAATGCTCTGCTCCTCACTATTCCCTTAATTCTTGGAAGTTTCATCTCGGGCTTGTGGTCCTTAAGGAAGCCTTCCTTATCTCCATGTTTAGTTCAAATACTTTTTTTTTTTTTTAAAGTTCTCTTTGAGAGGGGCACTTGGGTGGCGCAGTCGGGTAAGCCTCTGACTCTTGGTTTTGGCTCAGGTCGCAATCTCATGGTTGTGAGATCAAGCCCCATGGTGGGCTCTGTGCTCAACGTTGAGTCTGCTTGAGAGTCTCTCCCTCTCCCCCTGCCTCTCCCACTCGCACTCTCTGTCTCTCTCTCTCTACAATAAATAATACATCTTTATTTAAAAAAGTTCTCTTTTAGAGTACTTAGCTCATTATATAATAATGCATTTGTGTGTCAGTATATAAGTACACACTAAATGTGTGTGTCTATTTTCTCTATTAGGGTGCGCCATGAGAACAGCGATGCTGTCTTGTTCATTACTACAGACCGACCACCCAGCACATAGTAGGCCCTCACAGATATTTTCTGAATGGATGGATAAATGAATGACTTGAGATATAGGGCAGAGTTTTAACAACTAGAGGCACCAAGTGATTCTACGAAATGAGAAGAATAACAGCACTGGCTTAAGTGGTCTTCCAGATTCTCTTGGGGTCTCATGTTCTGTGGACCAGATGACCAGGATGTAAAGACACTCCTCATTCATTCATTTTTTTCCCTATGAAACAAAGAGTCAATTCTAAAACTATGCTTCAACTATGCTCAAGGGAGCCTTCATTTCTTTTATTAAACTGCAAAGGTAAATCCAGGAGGTTCAGACTGGTGTGCTTGTTAAATCATGGGTTTTAGAATCTGAAAGATCTAAGTTTAAACACAGGCGCTGGCACTTACTAGCTAGGTGAACTGTGACAAATTACTTTTATTTTCTGAGTGTGGGTGCAATACTGGGTTTTAGAGGGAAAATATATATTTCATTATTCAGATGATCAAAATGTATTTCTCAGATATATCTGGTCTTATTCCATGGTTCCTGGCTCACAGCTCCCAAAACCCTTGGAATTTCCCAAGGGTTGAGAGTGACACATTGTTATGTTAATGAGGTGGCTTTTGGACTTTACCTGAGGCTGGGAGCTAGTTGCCAGGGGAGCCAACTAGGTGATTAGGGGGTTGGATTTTTCAGTCCCAATTCCTGACCTCTGGGGAGGGGAGAGGGCTGGAGGTTGAATCAATCCCCAAGGCCAGTGATTTAATCAATCATGCCTATATAATAAAGCCTCCATAACAATCCAAAAAGGCAAGGTTCAAAAAGTTTCCAGATAGGGGAAGAGGTGAAGATGCAGGGACAGTGGCATATATCTGGATAGGACGTGAAACTCCACACCCCCTCTCCCATACCTGGCCCTGTGTATCTCTTCCATCTGGCTGTTGCTGAGTTATATTCTTTTCTAATAAACTGGTAATCTAGTAAGTAAAACATTTCTCTGAATTCTGTGAGCAAATTAAATAAACTCAAGGAGGCTGATGTGATGTGGGGACCTCTGATTTATAGCCAAAGTCCAATTGGTGTCCTAAGGTGGAGGCAGTTGATGGAACCTCCAATTTGTATCGGGTGGGTCAGAAGCACAGGTAGCAGCCTGGGCTTGGTAGGGGCATCTGGAGATGTGGGGCATTAGGGGGCAGGGCAGTCTCGCAGGACTCAACCCACAACCCACAACCCTGTGCCATCTGATGCTATCTGGCAAAACTGAGTTGAAGCAGGACAGCCAGTTGGTGTCCTGGAGATTTGCTTGTTGTCGTGAGGAAAAGCCAGTGTCAGAAATGAAGTGTTCTGTATGAGTGTTAAAGAAGACACACAGGAGGGGCGTGTAGCTGTTTCAGTATATTAAATGTCTGCCCTCAGCTCAGGTCATGATCCCAGGGTTCTAGGACTGGGCCCCACATCAGGCTCTCTGCTTGGGGGGAAGCCTGCTTCTCCCTCTCCTTCCCACTCATGCTGTCTCTTGCTATCTCTGTCTCTCTCTCTCTAATAAATAAATGAAATCTTAAAAAAAAAAAAGACATATAGGAGAGGGAAAAGTAGGAGGGAAAAATCTGAGTTTTTCCATTATATTTGGCTTCTTCCTCATCTATACAATAAAATTAATCCCACTTCTCTTACAGCCTTGGGAAGCTTAAACAAGGCTAAGAACCTGGAATAGAGGAGGTGTTTAGAATAAATATTCATTTTTTTCTCCTATAGAAATATACTGGATATATATATACTCCTCTGATTTACTGTGATTCTCTTGGGAAGTCGTTTTAGCTTACAAGTATCTTAATTTTTATCTCTGGAATAAGGATAAGAACAGTCTTATCAGTAATATGTGGACTTTTATTCTGTGAATAAAAGTGGAATACAGTAATATGTGAACTTTTATTCTGTGAATTTTTGTAATAACTACCTATTTATTCCCAAATGT